GCTAGAATACATTTTTGTGTTCGTGTTCAGATTTGCATATTTGTTTTTTAATGAACAACCTGTTCACGATTAGGGAGACGTTAAGCTATGCTGCTTGTCTCTTTTCAACCATTTGTGATCAAAATCAGATTGACATAAGTGCTAAAAGGGCGATTTCATACCTTAAATGAAGCAATTTGGGATGAGCGAGAAGAGAAGAGCCTGTTGGTTACTGATTGTGTAACATGCCAGTAAAGCAGAAAAGATTCAGTGAATTCTTATTGCCAGAGGTATCAGAATAATGAAACATCAAAGAAAATATGGAAATATCCTTCCCTCTTACATCTGTAATTGTGATATATTTAGTTGGACTGTCAATTTAGCATAATAATTAATGCAAAGTGTGCATTTGTAGAAAAAAAAATAGCACATAGACACTTTCTGTAAAGTCTGTTCAATGGTTTACTCATCTGCCAAAATAATATTATGTCTTTGAGGCTATTCATTTGGGGGATTTTCATGGCAAATTGATGCTTGTGATTATTTTAAGTAGTTATATTATGTTGTTTAAAAACATTTTTTGGCAGCAGATATGTATTATTGGATTAGGGGATGAAAGTCCAGCAGGGTACTGACTGAAAGAGTGAAAGAAAATAGACAAGACGATGAATGTACCTTTAGGCCAGAATTAATAATGGAGGTATTTTGCATCATTGATGACTCTGTACAAACAAAATGGAGTGAGGCTTGAATCAGACACGTCAGGGAAGACTGGAGGGAGAAAATGAGGGCTGAGAAGGAAATCTTTCAGCTCTGCATGGACAAAATCTTGTCTTTCTATTGATGCTTCGATGTGTTTCAGAACTCACATATTTCTGTAGACTAGAAAAGTGGTACAGAGGGAACAGACATTGGCAGCGTCTGAGTGCAGAATGTGTAGTGTCTGTGATCGTACGAAAGCTGACAGAAAGGAAAATTAATGTCACTCATAGCTGCTGGTTGCCAAGGAACGTGAAGTGAGCCCGAAGTTACTGTAATTCAAACTGGCACCTGGTTGCGAGAACAATAAATAGACACATTAAAATGACTTTTATTATTCTTTTACCCATCCTGCAGTGGCACAGATGGCACAGATGGCACATTTGTGCTGTAGTTTATGTTTCGCAACCTGAAAGTCACAGTTCACCTTTTGATAACATACAGCACATCACACAAAAAAACTATTTTAAAAATGATCAATCAGTATTTTTCTGTAAAAATATCTCCCGTATATTGAGATTATGCTTTAAAACAAGAACAAAACATTGTATGCAATTGTGCTCCTCAAGTAAATTTATCCTGTTTTAAGAATGTTTAAAGAAATAGTTAAACCCAAAAATGAACTCAACCTCAGGCCATACAAGATGTAGATGAGTTCGCTTCTTCATCAGAACAGATTTCTCACCTGATTCAGATTAAATTACTTTTTCACTGGAGAAAGCAATATTATAGATAGAGAAGTCATATTTTAACGAGAAGCAATGGTTTGAACGGTTCTTTTCACTTCAGAAGATGTTAACTGATGGACTGGAGTTGTGTGGATTATTGTGATGTTTTATCAGCTGTTTGGATTCTGATTCTGACGGCACCCATTCACTGCAGAGGATCCATTGGTGAGCAAGTGATGTAATGTTAAATTTCTCTAAATCTGTTGAGATGATGAAAAAACTCATCTACATAATCTAAGGGTGAGCAAATTTTCAGAAAACGTTCATTTCAAACAGCTATTTCTATATATAAAATATAAAATTTGAATAACCAATTTGTCCTTGCCTTTAAATAATTCAAATCTGAAGCAAGTTTGACAGGTCAGACTAATCTAATTTTCTCTCAAAAGCACCTCCCTGCTGACTTTTTATCTAAATTTATCCCTAAAGCATCTTCAAAGAACTTCTTCAGCATTTCATCAAAGCACGCAGTCTTTTCATGGGCCAACCTATTGCTATTTAATCACAGAGATCCCTCAAATGTCACTGTTTAAAGGCAGAGCAGATTGCTGTGTGAGTTAGCAAAAATGAGGCAGCAAGCTTAAGTCAAAATAAAGCCTGTGGACACTCGTATACAGCACAATCCCCAGGGGGTTTGGACCTGGAGTTATATTTGGCAAATAAATTGAATTTGGGCCCAAACACAGAAGAGCGATGCCACCTGCTACCAGTCATAGGAAAATAGAGGAAGACTGTCAGTGGGATTTCATGAAGAGATATCAGCCTTTGAGAGGATTGTAATAATACATTTGCATCTCAGTGTGGGTGTGTGCTTCCTCAGTAAAGGAGTATTCTTTTGATCTCTGTCCTGTGGTTAGTGTGGCATTATATATTACAGGACCATCCCTATTTCCATTTCAATCTCTTCATTGTTACCATGTGACCCAAATCATGAAGAAAATATCATGTACATCTGTGGAGCTGAGTGATTTTCAAGTGGATGTACAGTATGTCTGTGTTTGCATTTTATTGATCCTGTTAATGGAACCGGGTCAAAATGAAGCACACACGCCGGCACAGAGATGGTAATGGTGCTGGATAGAGGACTGAGGTGGGGAGGAACTCTGCTCTTTTGACAGGAGCATCTTTCCTGATATTCACTTCATTTAAAAAATAAATAAATAAAAGTATCTTGTGTAAGCATAAACATTTTAGTTGGTTTTAAAGGTGAAGTGTATAATTTTGGTACTATTACTGGCACCAAATGGATTTGGAAAAATAATGTTTTAAAAAAGGGTTCCTGAACATGCCCCCTGTCTGCCATTGGTCAACCAAATAGATAGCCACGCCCCAGACTCATATTGTTGGTTTTCATGCTAGTCTAGATCCTCATACAAACTGATCAGTTCTTTATAGGCACCACAGAGACACTGAGAAACCCTTGTGAAAGTACACTTTAGCATGCCTTTAAAAAGAGTACTTATTATGGAAATAATATATTTAGTTAATGGTGAAATGAATGTAATGTTTTCAGACACTTAATTGCATGTTATGTAAATTAAATGGAAATGCATTAAGTTGCCATTTAGTACATTTAAAGTGAAGTAAATGTAAAGTAAATGCACTGTAATATCAGAAAACAGTTAAAAATATAAATAAGTACTTTATAGGTGCTTTAGTATGTTAGTCAACATGTCAAAATAATTGCATGTCTATAAAGCACAATAAAAGATTAAAGCCAAATAATTTAAAATGTACTTAAAAAAACTTTTATTCTCACATTACAAAATGCACTTTTTACAAGTGTGTTAATAAATACAGTTTTAAATTGTATGCTCTTTAAGTACAATGGCCTTTTGTTTCATTAATATTATATTATCTGAAACTTCTAAGAGTTTAAGTACAATTGCACATTCATTACAATTATAAGTGCACTTCTTTTTCACAAGGGAATGGCTTACTTGTTTAACTTTGCATATTAGACTGGAAAAGTATTTTTATATTGAATTACACCTTCTAATAAACATTCTTATCTTTTTGTATTTTTTTTATTATTATTATAAAATAATCCTGTTCTTTTCCATTCAGATAAGCAGGTTTTGACTAGTCTAATATTCAAATCTAAAAAGTACAGTTCAGTTGAATGCTAGACTTTGAACTAAATATGGATGTCTTATCAACTGTTCATTGGAACTGTTTTGAGAGTGTAAAGAAGATTTATTTTGGGTGAGCAGAAAGGCACTGATTCTGTCTGCTGCCTGCAAACATCATAAGAAACAAACAAACAAAAATCATAACAGCAGCTTTCACCAGCGGCAGGGATCCAGTATTTGGCAGAACAATAGTGAACTCTGACTATGAACCTTACTTCAGAAATGGTTTGAGAAGAAAAATCATACTTTAGGAGGTTTTATCAGTCTCTTATAGAGCTCTAATATTATCTCCTCTTACAGACTGTATGTTTCCCCAGTGCTACTTTGGTACAGTACATCTATGTTCTTATGTACAGTATTTGACTTGCATACACAAAGACATCCCATATGCTCATGCATAAATTAGAAGCATGAACTCGTGCGAGGAAGTCACTGATTACTGATTCATGAGACTACTATAAATTTTTACATTGCATCATAGAGTACCTGAGAAGACTTTTCATGCTGAAAATTGTTTGTGCCTTGCAAATAGACTAAACACTCACCAAATAATGACTCAAAAAGAAGAAACAGAAGGTTCAGTTTGGCAAAGTCAAAGACAAGACATGACCAATTTGTGGTCAAAAAAGAGGTACAAAACTGTCACTGGGGCGGTACCCTTTCAAAAAATACTAATATGTACAATTTAGGTACTAATATGTACTTTTAAAGTAGGCCTACTAATATGTACTTTTAAAATATTAATATGTACCTTTAAGGTAATATGTAGCTTTTGTACCTTATAGGGTATTTCCCAGTGACAGCTTTTTTTTTTCTGAGAGTGTATGACCCTAAGTCGTTGAACAAAGAATTGCAAAGGATAATATTCACTGAATAGATGTTTATCAGTATAGATACAATAAAGATGAAATTTACATAGATAGTGGCAACTCATGTTTCTCACGAGTTGGCAAAGACAGATGACAATCAATAACAAACGGTGTACTCAGTTCTTTATTCCTGTTTCTTGTTTTATATCTGCAGTGTTCTTCCGAAAAGCTGCTTCTTTAATCACACTAATGTACTAGAGAGTAAAATTACTTGCATACAATTATGAAATAATCAAATTCCAAAGGCAAAGGATGAGTTTGAGCGCAAAACTATCCCAAACTCTTCCCCCACCACAGCAGCCTTCTTATCCTTTTTCCTGTAATTTGAAGTACTGAAAAGTAACTGCTTCTAGCCAGAAGAAAATAATTTCAATAAAGACCAAAAATCCAAATCCTATTTTCTTAAAGCTACAACACTTCCTTATTTGTTATAAATGATCAGATTTACAGTTCAAATCACCCAATGCTTGTATATCTGTTTTTAGTTTTCTCATTGAATTCCTCAGTGTATAATTTTTTTTTTCACTTTTTAGTCTTAAAACAACACTTCAGAAGAAGCTCTGCAGTGACTCTGTGGACCTGTCTGGCATCCCTTTATCAACTCGCAACATACGGCATGTGGCGTATTACCTCCAGACCAGTGGGGGCGCTGTGATATCCGTAGATCTTAGTTTCACTGAGCTCCGGGACGAGGGCCTACGTCTACTTCTGCCCTTCCTGGGTGCATTGCCCAAACTCACAACACTGGCTCTCAATGGGAACCGTCTGACTCTTGGCATCCTTAAAGATCTGAGTGAAGCCCTCAAAGATTCCAAGAAGTTCAGTTGTCTTGCCTGGGCTGACCTGGGCAACAACGTGGACATATTTACCATGCCACAGGTAAAACAACAGAATCTTAAAATCAATTACAGTTCCCCTTATTGTAATAATTACACTGAGATAAATGCTTTATTTTGGGTAAAACACGGTTGTACTACAAGACATGTTGCCTGCTTTATAAGAGGTACAACATGGATTAGCCTAGTAGGACATCCTTGATGCTCCTGGAGCAATATTCGCTGACAAACAGTCATAGCCTTACTTTTGAGGCTAATTCAGAGACCCAAAACATAAAATATTATTGGCTGATTGTAATGTTGTACCAAGAACATCAAGGATGTTGATCCAGGAACATGTTCTACTTGGATGAATCAGGCTATGCAAGATAAATATTTGTTTTATATGTTTTCACTCACCATTTTCAACTGGCAGGGTGAACCAGTTGATTAAAGTCCTATTTGGATGGGACTAGTTTTCCCTGAGGAGAAAAGCATCAATGTGTTATCAGTAGTTGGTGCATTATGTATCCTGAACTAACAATGAACAATACTTATACATCATTTTTATTGGTTCCTGTTCATTTCTACAGTATACATTTTACATATAACTATATTTTGTGTGCGCGTGTGTGTGTATATATATATATATATATATATATATTATATAAAGCATTTATAAACAAACATGAATTAACAATTATCAATAGAATTGACCTAGATTAATACATTTTGTTGCTTTTTGATAGTTCATGATACCTAATGCATTGACTGATGTAAAAAATTGAACTATATTGTGAAGCGCGTTACCAATATTTTTACTATACACTTCTCATTTAGTTTGACCTTTGTCGAAATATTTTCTTTGTTCAAATAATTTTAGACCTTTTTAACCAACTTTCAATGTTAAGTAAGAGATGATCATTCAAGTATTGCTGGAATCTCGTCTAATATAAGAAATAAATTTAAGGAGACTCCATGATTTTCTGTAACCCACATCCAGACAATAGACATTCTTCAGATATTATCTGTAGGTAAATGTAACTCAAAAGTTTTTTTAATTGTTTCTACTCTGTTCTCAGCCTCTTCTGGTGGCCCTACGGCGACGCTGTAGTCTAAAGGTCTTGCTGTGTCATTGCAGTGCTGCTGCTCCCTTTGGAATCATCCGTTGAAATATGGCGGTTCATTATGCTACATTTCTGTATGGTGTATTTTAATATATCAAGCACATTGATTAATCATGTCTGGTCAACTTTACTAAAACGTTCTTAAAGGTTCTTAACATCATGCTCAAAATAATCTTGCCTGTAACACAGAGTTGCAGCAACACCCCATCTATTTTAAATCTAATTTTCATCATTAATGATAAAATTAATGGACCTCGAGATAAAGAGCTAATGATTGTTCCATGGCCTTCAATTACCTGAGCACTTTAGTCTGTGTTTTCATCAGGTTTGTGACTGAAAACTTGTTGTAGCGATGTCGTCTTGTAACATGAACATCTTTATTTTTTTCTGAAACAAAAATGAGCCAAACAAATAGTTACTGTACTAACCAGCACTTAGTTGTTTGGGAGTAAAGCTCAGATGATCAAATAGTTCAGTGTTTCTCAACCCTGGTCCTGGGCGCCCCCCAACACTGCACAAGAGGGTCAGCCCTATTGCTACCGCATGGAGAGCTCCATTGAAGAACCCAGCCACTATGAAGAAGAGGAGGATGAAGACGAGGAGGAGGAAGAGGATCTGGAGCCATGGAGCATCGGGGAACAGAAAAGTTCAGGTAGTTTTACCCTGCACCATTGTGAGAGGTGAACCAATCACGATCATTGTCACCTGACGATGGGATAAAGAAAGAACGGGAGAGCGCAGGCAAGAGATCTCTCTTCTCTCGGTACCATTTCTCCCAATCAACACCTTTTACCATCTCCCTCCTCCACTGAAGCTCCATGACCTTCCCATTGTGGTTATGTGTGAACCAACAGCATCACATTTAAAGAGCCAACTAACCACCTGAACACGGCAAACGGTGAAACACGCTGGTTTGAAATTCTCTCAAAGCTTCACCATTGACTTACTGTGTTGGCAGATGATGCTCCTTGACTCGAGGTGGGGGTTCATTGGAGGGGGCCACAGAGAGTTGCGTTACAGATACTTTCTTACGCCCCTCTTCGGTCACAAATGACCAGTGATGGACAGGAAAAAATGGCAATAAAAAATCCGAGAGTCAGTCAACTGGCTGATGCATACCAACGGTGGATTTGAAGCTCTACGGACCCCGCTTTTAAATAAGGTATGGTTAGGAATTTTGTGGGGTCTGGTCAGGTTTGGTCGTATTTGTCAGTGTTGCATTGCTGAGGCCATCTCTGCCGCAGCAGACTGGACCTATCACCCCTCTGTGTATGCTCTACTAATCTCCCAACAAAAGCCATGAAACCAGCTCAACAGACTATACAGCCGACCCACGTCACGTGACGCAAGCAAAACTGCTATGTCAAGACTTTTGCATTTTCCCCCCTTTCCAAAATGTTCACTTGTGAATACCCACGCACCACTTGTCGTGTAGTTGTGAGTGATGATACAAAAAGGAAACGCTGTTGAACTGCCAGCATCTGTTTTTTGTTGTCTGCTAATGAACAAACTATACGACAGGTATATTTCAACAAAGAAACATTTTTGTTGTATATGAGAAGATTGCTCACCTTTTTATGTTCAGGTCATCTTAAATATTCCTCTTAAATATGTCTTGCTGTGTCATTGCAGTGCTGCTGCTCCCTTTGGAATCATCCGTTGAAATATGGCGGTTCATTATGCTACATTTCTGTATGGTGTATTTTAATATATCAAGCACATTGATTAATCATGTCTGGTCAACTTTACTAAAACGTTCTTAAAGGTTCTTAACATCATGCTCAAAATAATCTTGCCTGTAACACAGAGTTGCAGCAACACCCCATCTATTTTAAATCTAATTTTCATCATTAATGATAAAATTAATGGACCTCGAGATAAAGAGCTAATGATTGTTCCATGGCCTTCAATTACCTGAGCACTTTAGTCTGTGTTTTCATCAGGTTTGTGACTGAAAACTTGTTGTAGCGATGTCGTCTTGTAACATGAACATCTTTATTTTTTTCTGAAACAAAAATGAGCCAAACAAATAGTTACTGTACTAACCAGCACTTAGTTGTTTGGGAGTAAAGCTCAGATGATCAAATAGTTCAGTGTTTCTCAACCCTGGTCCTGGGCGCCCCCCAACACTGCACATTTTGTATGTCTCCCTTATCTGACACACCTATTTCAGGTCCTGGAGTTTCTTTTAATGAGTTAATGCGTTGAATCAGGTGTGTTTGATTAGGGAGACACACAAAATGTGCAGTGCTGGTGGGCGCCCAGGACCAGGGTTGAGAAACACTGAAATAGTTAAATGTCAGTGTTATTTATTATATATGTATTCTTTTAAATGTGTCAGTTGTGTGTGTATTTGTTTAATGTTATCTTAATGTTTTCTCAGTATTGACTTCAGACTATTAATATTATATGTAATATCCCACAACATGTGCTAATAGCTGTCCATTTTCACAGGGCCTCAACAAATTCAAATGGCAAAGTGACCTCTTTTGAACTTTCCAAAACTAAATATAAAATTAATTTGGACTATTTAGTAGTACCTGTGAAAAATTAATGGATAAAAAACAGCAATCTTTGCATTTGTTGTTTGGCTCGGTGTCTAGATCATTGCAGTTACCTGGTTTGTGATCAGTTTATCTGGGATGTTTAACCTGCGTAATCTGTGTAAATCTGTCACTCATAAACACCAAGTTGGTGTCAATACCCACAATGCTAAGCAAGCTAATACACTCAGTGACAGGTTATTTGTCATGTTGTTTTATGTGTAAGTCTGAATGAGCTTTCTCTGTCTGTGTCATATACTGTGTCCTCTGAATCTGTGCTTCAAACAGTTTATAAGACTGACTGTTCAACGCTTCTGTAATAAACTTTTATTAATAATACCATGGGTGTGGCAAAATAATACTTGCCTGTTTATTTTTAGGATGGAAAATCAGTGTGAATGCGTTTGATGGTTGCAAGTGCCTGTGGGAGGCTGGTGAGGTGCCCATCTGCTGATTGATGTGCTGGAGTGCATGGAGGAGACGCAGAGAAGTTTTTTTTTTTATGATGGGGGTGGTGCTAGGATCTGTGACAGCCCGAGGGAGTATTACACACACACTTCTGAAATGTTAAAGTAATAGCTGAAAAAAATGAAAATGATGTCATTTAGTCACCCTCATGTCATTCCAAATCCATATTTGCTGTTATTTTTCTGTGGAAAAAAGAAAATCTTTGAAGAACTGTCATGTAGCTATTTTCTTATACAGTGACGGTTCATAGGAAACTTGTTTAGCTCCAAAATGGACACAAAAAAAACCTACATAAAAGTGTTCCATACCCAGCTAACAAAAATATGTTCTAAGATGATAATCATTTCCCTCCACGATAAGTTTGGAAAATGTTATTTCTGAATGTTCGCAGAATGTTGAAAACATCCAGTTTTTTAAATGTATTAAATTATTAATACTATTTTAAATAGTTCAGAAACTGCTAGAAGATGCATGACAAATGAAAGCAATATGTGTTCTAAAATCAGCTCAAATATATCAACATATTTGATATCCTCCAACTGGATAGATTCATAGTCTGAAGATAAAAAAAAAAAAACGCAGTCTGTGACCATCACAGACTATGCGATTTTCTGTTAAATCTATCAGCTCAAATCTGCCGACTGGCTCTGACTTTCGGCAACTAGTATCAGCTTCTCCAGACTGTAAATTGGCAGAAAATCGGGGCAAAAATTGTGTAGTGTGTTCCAGCCTTTACAGTCGAATGTTCTCTGAAGGTTCTGAAAGAAGTTTAACGTTTATTTTCACGTAACATTTAAAAAAATGCTAGATGAACATTGATCTAAAATGTTACAGAAAAATATTTCATGTGCAATGTGAAATTTTGCGCTACAATTTTAAGAACATTTTTGTTTGAAAACTTTATTTCTGAATGTTCTCTGAACGTTCAAAACATCCAGTTTTTTTAAACATTTTATTTTATTTATTTATTTGGGGGGTTGTGCAAACATTCAGGGAACGTTGCAAACATTATGGGAACATTATGTCACATCAATGTTCTCTGAACATTCAGTGACATTTAAAAAATGTTAAACAAATGTCCAACTAAAACGTTTTAGTTGAACAATGAATAAATATACTATTCTTGCACTACCATTTTGAGAACATTATTAAAGATCAAATAACTCTGAATGAACATTCTAATAATGTTACTGGTAGAATGTTTGGTCATAAGTTTGAGAGACTCTCGCAAGAACATTAAACAATGTTTTGAGAATGTTCCCTATTAGAGGTGCATGAGTCTGTTGAAGACATACTATAGTTATTGTTAGGAAGAGACTATATTATTATTATAATGTACATTTTAATTTGAATATGGTGCAGATTTGAAATCATTTGCATTTGGTCATAAGAACCATTGGCATTTCATATCCAACATCACGTGATATGTCAAAAAGCATTATTTCTGTCTTTTCTTATTCAGTAGGCTATATGAAACCATGATTTGAACTGAAGAAGGCCTTGAGCCGAAATGTTTGTGTTTTGTCTTGCTGGTTATTAATGTAAAATAAAACGTTAAAAGAAGAGTATATGAGTGCAGATCATGGTTTTATAAAATGCGTAATTTAATAGATTGACGCTCCAAAAAATATTAAATGACAAAACAGCACAGTGCAAACGAATTTGTTGTATGACTTCAGAAGACTTGGAATATAGCACACAAAACATATGGACTGCTTTTCTGGTGCCTTTTTTGCTTGACAGCTTGATAGGAATGGTCACTATAAACTATGAAAATAAGATTCTTCAAATACTTCATGAGTTCCATTGAAAAAAAAAAAGAAGACAAAATACAACTGCACTCTCACTTAAGCTTATTTTTTTTAATGAGAGTGCAGCTATATTTTGTTCTTTCTCTGACTTGCACAGCACCTCAAAAAGGTGTGCATTTGCTTCATTGCATAAAAAATAGCAGCAACAAGTTTTGGACGACATGAGGGCGAGGAAACAATGACAGAATTTTAATTTTGGGGTGAACCACTTTAAAACATCCCTATTATATTTCAAGAGAAAAGAAGCATGATGCAGACGCCCAGTTCCTCTCAAATATGGAGTTGAGCTTGTATGGTTCTTGTCAGTGTGTGTATATAACTGTGGTTATAAAGAGTGTGTGTGTTAAACATCTGTAAACAGATCTTCAGCAGTGTGTACACTTGCTTTTGTCACTGTGATCTCAAACAAGAAGTGCAGTCTGTTCTGCTCTGTTACATCTGGTTGAATAAACAGTGATGCTGTAACAGCTTTCGAGACAGTCCCATTGAGGTCTTGGGAATTATGCATGTCATGGTCTGTGTTGCTGTGACAAGCATACAGACCCACATTACTGCAGAAGAAATAATACCAGAGTCCTCGTCTGCCACCCCATGGCTAAACAAGACAAAACCATAAAATAATAGTAAAAAAAAATCATAGACCAGAATGAATATGAATTTAATCACATTCTTGTTGCTTGTTCCTGAAAGGACAGTTCAACCACAAAATATTTGTCATTGTCATTCATGTATCACTAACAAAAGTACCATTAAAGTATCAAAAAAGACATTTGGCTTAGTTTGTATGATGTTATTGACATTCCAACAAGGAAATATTCTGCATGTAATTTTCATTCATTATGCTCAGTCTTGAAGTTTCCCATGGAGTTTTAGGCTCAGCAGTGCACCTTATGGGGTCTTCTGTGCTGTCAAAGCAAACGGGGGCCCTTTTGATCAGAGCTCACAAAATGTCAGAGCACAGTCAGGCAGCGGTAACCCCACCAGGATGAACTTTGAAGCTTAAGAATGTACGCCTTCACTTGTCTGGACACTTGGTACATTTAGTTCTGAGGATGTTTTTCCTCTAAGAACAGTGTGATAGATTGGCTGGGTCAAGCTGAATCTGTTAAACATGAGGGCAGGGAAGGTGATTGCTAGAGTTGGCAGAGATGGACATCAAACTCATTACTCTGTTCTTTGGCATTTGTGCCTCTACTGTCACATTAGTCAGGAGGATGAAGAATGAGCGTACAAGGGCTGTCGCTTTCTAAGATATCTGCTTATGGCCTCTTGGAGAAAAACACAGCTAGAACAAATCAAATTATTAATATAAAAATACATAATATTGACAATGGACAGAAGCAATAGCTAAACAAAGGAAACTGGAATACTATTTGTCCCCCCAAGAAACTGCCAGCCTACCCTAGACCTAAAGTATGCTACATATAGGGTACACTGTAAACACTGCATCTGTTTTTGATTGCTGTAATGTACATCTACAACCTACCTTCTAAATAGAGCATGCTAAATACTAATGTTCACTAGTATGTTTTACAGTGTACACTAATATAGGCTAATACATTATACAATACAGCGCATATTGTACTGCCATATAGATACTGTTTTTTTCCCTTTACACAAACTACCATTTTCAGTTAGTTGAATTAAAATGAATCAGGTGCAGACATGGCAACCATGCAACCTGAAAGTGAGAGAGAGAAATAATTTGTCATGTTGCACGATTTTGTCATCTAGACCGGAAAAGTGACGTAGTTCCGGGGTCCTGAATATTAAACAATTTTCGCACCAACATTGAAACAACAGCTGCTACATTTGATCCAGCACAGCAATATTTAATTGCTTTCATTTGAAAACAAAGCGAAGAAAAGCTATCCAAATCAACATGACAGGTGAGGACACGTTCGAGCTGCATTCGGTGCAGCTCGAGCTGGAGGCCGTGGAGAAGCAGATCCGCGACCTGGTGGAGAGGCAGACCCAGCTGAGAGAGCAGAGAGCCGCGCTGGAATCATCCCAGGCTGACGCTCACAAGTCCGAGGTAAGTATACAGCCCGCTGCTAACTCTCCCACCACCTCTACTCCATGTGTTTCTCTGCACAGG